TCTTTCCTTAATTGGATAAATATATCCAAAACGAGAATAATCATCTGTGAATGTTATAAATGAATCATAACCATCCACACTTTTTATAGAAAAATGACCACAGATGTCTGTGTGAACTATTTCTAAAATTCCTGCGCTTCGTTTGTCATCTTTCTTTATTTTATTAATGTACTTTCCTTTTATTCAATCAATGCATTGCTCTAAATCTGAAAATTCTAAAGACGGAATAATTGATTTCTTAATCAATCGCTCTATTCTCCCTCTCGAAATATGACATAAAGGACAGTGCCATAATTTCGAAGATGTATCATGAACTCTCTTCCGCTTATTATTTGCATTTATAGACGTGGAAGAATTCTCATTCTCAGTGCTCACAACATTCACATTCTCAGAAAGTGATAATCAATAAAGCTTGTCTTGTCGGAAGGCAAGACTAATAAACTTATTATTATACATAATCTGACATTTGCCATTACCAAAATGGCAATTATAACCATCATCGTCAAGTCATGAGACACTTATCAAGTTTCTACGCAAAGATGGTACATAAAGAATATATGAAAGCTGAAGTCTAAAACCATTATCTAATTTTAAAGAAAGATCTCCAATGGCTTCAACTTCAACTTCAACTCTATTTGCTACTTTAATTTTTCTTTCTCCTCTTTGCAGGATCCTCCTCGTACGGAATCCCTATAATAAATTTGCAACATGAAACAGTTGCACCTGAATCAATCCACCAAGTAGATTTTGCATAACTTAAATACAAGGACTCATCTATTAATGTAATGTAGTCCTCACCTCTCTTTAGAAGGCTCTTCAGGAAGTCAGGACAATCCCTTTGGTAATGCCCATGCTTCTTGCACCATTTGCACTGATACTTTTTAACTTGGGCATTGTTGTTCTTCTGATGGTGCTCAGTCTGAGGGGCTTTCTCTTGAGGTTTGGCATTTTTATTGAAGTTCTTCTTTTGTTGTCCTTCACAAGGTTAGCAGAGTCACCCTATGAGCTTTTTAGCCTCTCCTCTTGTTGAACACACATTGCAATGAGCTTCTCTATATCCCACTTATCGGGCTGCATGTTGTAGTTAACAACAAAGTTTCATATTCTTTGGGCAAGGAAGCAAAAACCAAATGAATAAGGAACTCATCCTTGAGCCCCAAATCCATTGGCTTCAGCTTCAAAGCCGTGTTGCTCATCTTCAGTATGTGCTTTCTGATACCGCCACCAGTGTATTTTTCATTGAATAATTTCTTGATCAAATTACTAGCATAAGCCTTTGAAGAGCTAGTAAACTGACTCTCCACTTTCTTGAGGTATTCTGTGGCGGTGTCACAATTTGGAATAGCCCCCTTATCGCATTTGAAATAGTAGACTTAGCCACCATCAAACACTTGTGGTTTGAAATGTCCCATTTCTTGCGTTCAAGATTATATTTCATCCGTACTTCTGCATGATCTCGCTGCCGAGCAGTGAAATCAGCATCGGATTCATTTTCTTCTCTCATCGGGTCTACTGGCTCAGTAGGACACGGGAAGGTAAGCGCTAGGTCATTTTCAGACAGCGCAAGTGCTAGTTCATACTTCTCTCGCCATATACCCTATAGTTGCCCCCTTCAAGAGGTGGTATGTGCGAGATAAATATCATTGGGTTGTCCTGAAAAACACCGTCAGAGATAGTGAGAAAATATGACATCATAATTGCATGCTTTAATTTAATGTTGGTCAAAATTAAAACATAAAACATTCTTATACACTAATTCTACATTACTGTTGTGCAAAAATAGAATTAATGAATGAAAAACTTATGAATAAACATTATAATATTGTTATTATCAATGTTGGTAAAAAAATAAAAATATCATAATTTACTAAATAAAATTTAACTGCTCTTCAAATTAAATTCTCTCGTTGATTCGAATTTAATTAGAAAATAATAAACATTAACTTTGCAGCGAAAACATGAAAAAAATCCTTTATCTACTTTTAAGAAGCATTTTACTGTACTCATCTACTCTCTGAAAAAATTATTCCGTTGGTTCAAATTTTGTAAGAGATTTAAACTGGACAAAAAACATCAAAAAATTGCTTCTGAATAACAATTTGTAAATGTTCTTTGTGCATTAGATGAAAATCATCAGACGACAAGGCTTATTGTCGCGGGCCCAATGACGAAAAACGGCCCGGTCACCCATGGCGTGCGTTGCCATTGTTCCCCACGCCTTGAGCCCAAGAACTGGGCCTAGATCGAAATTCTCTCCGCTGGGCTAAAAAGTGGTCCAATGAACAACCGATCGTCGGATCAAATCCAATGGTTGTCCGCGTTGATCGCCGGATCAAAACCGTCCGGCCGGTCGCGCGCGCCACAATCCTAGCTCATTTGCCCCTCCCTTTTCTCTCTCTACGCCACGGCGGTCGGTTCTCTCTCCCCTTCTCACCCAAAACATGGCGGCCAGAGAGAAATGGTGGTGCCGGCGAGTGCACTCGCCCGAGGCTGAGCGCGCCGCCGACGAGCGGCCTTGCGACGTTGCCCTGAGCCCGAGCCACTGCTGGGGCACTATGTGTCCGATGGCGCGTGGCTCGGCTCATTCTCCCGCGCGGCGGCGGAGCTATCTCCCCGCATGACGGCGGTGCAACAGCGGTGGAGTAGCCCTGGTGAGTTCCTCTCCCGATCTGTCCGTTCTCCTTCTAGGGTTAGGGTTAGGGTTTTGATCCGATTCGCAAATCGAATCCCCTCCTTCTACTTTCTCATTTTGTCTACCCTAAAAGCTAGATCTACGCCTAGTAAGGTGACTGATACCATTGATAGAAATTACAGGATCCACTAGCAGTAGATCTAACGGATGTAAACTGTCATTTAGCATATGGTAAACCCTAGAACATGAACTCGTATGAGGAACTAGAGAGGGACAGAGGTGCGAGTAGCAAACCATCGGCCGCCTTCGACGAAGACGAGCTGGCCATCGCTGGTGCGCGGTGGAGGTGCGGTGGTGACTCGGTGATGGCGCAGTCGCTATGCGGCGGTGCAGAGGCGGGGTGAAGCCGGTGGCGGTGCTTCCCGTCGCTGGCAGCGTCCCCTCTCTAGATCGGTTAGGGTTTGGGATGTAGGTGGGGTGTCTGGTGGCTCAGGTGAGCCTCTTGCCTTGTGCCCCGGCCCTGTGCCTTTCTTTTTACGACGCTGTGCGACGGGGGCCCACCAACCATTTAGCGGTTGGACGTCCCCGATCAGGACGCGGATCCAAAGGCCCAATTAACCGTTGGACCAATTGATGGAGATCAATTTAACAAGAGATGTATCACAAAGCTGAAAATCGATACATAAAACACTGATGGTTCATACTGCTAACGCCTATTGGGTTCAGAGGATCGAAAATCCGATAGCAGTTGATACACACGGGGTCCGTCAGTAAAATTAACGTGTATTCAATCAGGGTTCGATTTCTCAGAGTTTCACTAGCTTGTTCACCGTCAGGCTAGAACGAGTTTGTTCTACTAGACTAGATCTGACACTGTTGCACCGTCAGGCTGGTGCGGAGGAGAACGAGTTTCACGCGACTACCTTCGTTTATTCATCCGGTCTTTTTTCTCACAACAAATCAGATCTGACACTGTTGCACACATGGATGCGTCTACCAAACCCACATGTGGACATGCCCGTGGGTGATGGATGAGGCAGCATCATGCAGCATGCACGCAGGCTGCACCTCCTCTGGCTCCATGTGCAGCTGGGCAATACAAGACACAGAAGAAGAATAGAGGATATCTGGGTAAAGGAGGAGATCAAGCAGAACTTGTTTAAAGTAACTTAGCCCTTGTTTAGATGGATCCCAAAATCCAAAAAGTTGCTACAGTACCTGTCACATCGAATGTTTGCGGCCCGTGCATGGAGCATTAAACGTAGACGAAAAGAAAAACTAATTGCACAGTTTGGTGGGAAATTACGAGACGAACGTTTTAAGCCCAATTAGTCAATGTTTGGACACTATTTACCAAATAAAAACGAATGTGCTACAGTAGCCCTAAAATCCAAATTTTGCGAACTAAACAAGGGCTTAGTCCTCCAGATTCCCCTCAGCCCCGTTCGCTGGTCTGAAATTTGGCTGAAACTGGCCGAAAAACATTGTTCCGGCTGAATCGTTGTGAGAGAAAAACACTATTCTGACTGAAAAAAAAAACCGAACAAGTCGAATATGGGGTAAGCCGAACATGGCATTCCAATTGAGGAAAAAAAATTCTATCTCAACCTGCAATGGGAACACGAGGAAGGCCAAAAGATGCAGAGGCTGAATTGTATAGATCATCTGCAATGCAGATGCATAGTGACATACTACCAAGGAGAACAGAAGGGGTTCCTGGGATATGCACGCACGTCTGCTAGAGCAAAGAGTTTTTTTTTGAGGGAACGCTAGAGCAAAGAGTTACCAAGGAGAACAATGTGTAAAAGCGCACTTGGTTTATGCACGTACTCTGTGAATGCCAATTTCACATGTACAATAACTGGTGAAATGAGATCAGTAAGACGAAAGAATGTCACTTTGCGCAGAAAACTGAACACTGAACATATACTCGAGACATGCATTACAAAATTGCTGTCCAGAGGGCAATTACATGAGGATATCAGGATATGCACAGGCCTACTGTACAAGCTAGCTATTATTTTACAACAAACAGCAGCTAGAAGATCCGCGTATGTACAGTTTCAGGTTTGGCTTCACTGCTTGCCAGGTACTTTTTTTTTTGAAACTACTGCTTGCCAGGTACTTGGTACACAAGGAAACTGCTGGTTACTGGTTAGAGCTACGTAACGGAACTTTCAGCGTTAATGTACAACTCCTGTACTAGACTCTTCCTTGGTTTTCATGTTTTCCGAAGGCCCCCAATCAACTCTTATTATTGATTGTTCATTCTCCATATTTTGTTCGGCTTACATTGTTTTGTTTCTTGCCTTTTGGGATTTGCGCTGAGTTAGCTTGTTAATTGCTCAGTAACCTGCCAACTGCACTGTTATCTCGTCTTGGCTTTCCTTCTCTGCACAAAAACGTACCAGTGGACACATTCAGAGAAGTGAAAGGAAAGAAAAAGAAAAGGAAACAAAGAAAAATTGAACGGCAACCCATGTCTAAATATAATGCAGAATGCAGATGCTAGGATAACAAACATCGAAGTAACATTCCAAGTTACTTCAGAGTAGGAAACCGACTTATCACATAGTTCTCAGTACATGTCCTCTTCCTAATATAGCCATATTGTGATTCCGGAGCAATTCAAATTCAAATTAACTTGATCCCAGGAAAACATAAAGTACACTATAACGTTCTTTCAAATTTGCTTCTTGGAAATGGAAGTATAGGTTTGATTAGAGAGTATCTTAGGCTAACATAACAAATATGAACACAAGAGAAAACTTATTCTTCTACAATTTCATAAGAATTCTTGAGTTAACACAAGAGCAACAGTCTGCTGAAGTATTGAATGCACAAATACTTACATGATGATGATTCTGGCTGCTATACTTCCGAGTCCCATCACGGTAAGCGGTATACCGTGCACCAGGTGAGACATGAGATATGCGCCGGAGAAACACTTGAATGTGATTGTAAATGCTGCAGGAAGCAGTAGCAGTTAACACCTAGCACACTCGAAGTTATAATGCAACCTAACTTTGGGAAGAAGACGACAAAATTCATTTTGGGCACTTAAGGCCTTGTTCGGAATGATGGGGATCGAGGGGATTGACGGGGATTTTGACTTGTATAGAGGATAAAATCCCCCTCAATCCCCTTCAATCCCCACCAATCCCTTTCTAACTGTGTAAGAGAGGCGGAAAAGGTCACTTAAATAGTCAGGGGGGAATAAAAGCCATTTTGAAGGACAATTTTGAACTCAGCAGTAAACCAAGGTATAATTGTGTTTTTTCATTTAATGTTCTTCAGAACTTACTAAACTGTAGCATTGCATAGGTGTCCGAAGAAAAAACAAATACCTGAGCCGGTGCCTATTACATGTTGAAAAGAAGGCAACAAAACCATACAAAATGCTCCGTAGTGCACGGAAAATCTGAAAGAAAAAAAAGTCAAAGTAAGTTTCATAGATAGTTTGATGTATGCTTTGGCTGTGCCAACGAACTTCTGATACCTGATACAGAAGATCTTTCCACAGTGAGCCCCAGATGCTATTATCAGATGTAAGCACAGGTGATCTGGGAACAGATCCAACTTGATATAAGGCACTTAGTGTTGACCAGCTCTCCCTTAGAACACTGACAATATCAACAAAAAGGTCCACTACAAAACTTGACAGCCCAATGACTAGTCGGAAAGGTGTAGCTAGTATCTCTCCAAGGAGCCAAATTATAGGGTACAGAATTGAATTTACTGGTGACAGAAACAAAATTAGCATGGCATAAGAATCAAAACATGGAAGGAAAATGAAATAGATGATGTAAGAGGTTACAGCAACCATACCAATGCTAATCATAGTACTGAAGACAAACCAAAATGGCCAGATAATCATCTCCACTGTACCGATAACTACACTCCAAGACGTCTCCAGTGATACTATGACAACTGAACTGAGATATCCTACTGTCTCAGCACAAAGGTTCCACATTGGCATGGTAAGTTCAAAAACCTCCAGAATTGGTCCCGCAATTGGCTTTGTCAAAACACTAAGAACAGACTTAGCAGCACCCACAATCTTAAGAGACCATGTAAAAGCCTGCTGAAAGTTATGCAGGAAAAGCATAGTTCCAAGATACTTAAGTCTTGATATCATTTCCCACGTTTCTATCCAATCAAAGAAAGGGCCAAACAATCTTGAGGCAGTTGCCTTCAACATGGGCACATTCTTGTATAGGTCATAAAATCCTATAAGAACAGTGATTAATGACATCAAGACATACAATGCTCTGGCAAGAGGGCACATCCATGGGCGATATATCTTGCAAAACACTGGATATGACTGAAGAAATATAATCCACGAAGGAAGGCCATACTCAAGTAGTGTTAACAGTCTGACGTCAGATAGTATGACTTCTTTCAGTCTGAATGGAAGGTCATGATCATCAAAGCGGAAACAAATTAGTACATCCTTATATGTGCTGGGCTCCAATAGAGGCTTAGCTTTCTCATTATCACTGTCACACGATGAACATGAAGATGACGAATGTGTTGGCGAGGCCACAATTTCTGTGTATGATTCTTCAGTCGAACTACTTCCATCATCTGATTTTGTTATTTTTCTTCTCTTGTAAGGTCCAGAGCAAGGAGGTGCGGTGTAAGATGAGTCTGTGAAACCTGATGACTCTCTGATGATTTGAACATGGCTAGAATCATCACTATCACTTGGTAAATTCTCACTGTCCCATTCAGGTGTTAAGAAATCATTCTGAGCATCATAAAACATATCACCTGTACAGCAAGCGTATAAGTGCTCTGTACTACCAGCAATGAAGAAGAGAAAAGGGAAAGGGTTACTATCAGTGCTTTTACCATTAGAAGAGATGCTGTTCAAATAGTCCTGTAGGAGCTGACATTCAGAGGGATTTCCTGAGAACCAAGAAGTGATCAATGTTGAAGCTTGATTAACACTATCAAATTCCCATCTCTTCATTATTTTAGACTCCACAACCATTGATGTATCCGTCTACAATGATACTAAAAGAAATAAGTTTGTGGCTTTGTGCCATGAATTTAAAGTCATCAATATGATCCCTAACAGTAAGACTATCAACATTAATAGACTGTACCTGAAGTTCATTCAAATAATTGATGCCACGCACATCAGCCCAGTCTACCTCAAAAATGATAAAACCATATAAAGTCTGATGAAGCTCCTTGTTCAGTATGCGGGCATCCTTCAACTTATTTACTTGAAGCTTCTTTTCCCGCATAGCCTCGTCGATCAAGGAATACCATCTGGAAGATTTATTCTGTAAATGGGGAGCAGATACCGAGCTTGTTGAGAATACAAGCTTTCCATCAGTTTCATCTCTCTTTCTCCTAATCCTAGAATTGGCGAAAGGGGAAAACCTTGACTGGAGCAAAAAACAGCAAGAATCAGATTGTTAGCAGCGCAGTGAAACTTAAGCAAGAAAGAGATACTGCCATAGGTGTGCATAAAGCAGCAGAACAACAGACCTTAGTAACCATCAATTGCCATAGATGAGCAGGTTTTGTATCCTGATCTAGCAACCATGGGCGGTTGTCGAGCAATATAAGGAACTTCTTGGTATGAGGGCACAGAAATATTGTCAGTTCTGCAAGATATGACTGTAAATCCCTGCATTTAAAATGAAAGAAAACCTTGTTTAGTTCGCCTGTTCGGCTGGGCTTATACGATCGTGGATTATAAGCTGGAACAGTATTTTTCTCTCACACCAAACCAGCCAAACCAGCCAGCAGTAAATAATCCACGATCGTTTACGACGAAACGAACAGGCTGTTGATAGAAATAAAAAATTACAAACAACATCAGGTTATCAGATCAGTGTAAAATCATTCCCCCACCCTAAAAAACGTATTCCATCTTACATGAGTTAGGACACACAGTAACAGATGATAGAAATAAACATTGAGCTGTCAAGACCCAGAAATTAAATAGAAGCAACCATGGAACTGAAAGTGCAAAATGCTCACCAGCACAGCACTAATTCTCATTTGCAAATACCGGCGCATGACGGGCAAAACATATCAGACATTCTGCTGTGAACATATAGTGAACTGCTTCTTTTTTAGTTTTTTTCTGTCATTTGGTCTGTGGAGGTTCAAGTTCAAATATGAACGAAGAACTGAAAACACAGCACAGAAACCAATATATGCACACAACATACATACTGATCATCTCACAGGACGGAAGGTCACACGCAACAGAAGCCTGGGCAGTTTTTACTGGGACCACTGGATACGGATAGAATGAAAATTTTACTGCTACTCTACCGGCATTCGAACACAGTCCATGGATGTACAAGCTGGGAGGAACGCTATGAATGGAAAAATATATAAGGCTCCAGTGCACGGCAATTCTGACCATCTGTCGTTTCAACTAGCAATATTTCCAACAGTGGGTTTCCTTTCCATATGGCGACCACGCAAGTGTACCCCCCGAAACATCTACAGAAGCGAATAAAACTACCCATTCCCCGTTTTGTGACAATTCCTGTCCGTTTTCCAAAAACAGTATGTTGGAATTATCTTCTGCAGGCGGCACAAGCAAGAAAGTCATTTCTTTCAGGTAAAAGGGTTCATGCCAGTTTCACTGCAAGAACTAATGGCAAAATGTACTCAAACAAAAAGGAAAAAATAATTTCAATTGTGCACGTATACGTCACTCGTCGAACATCTCTTATCCGCATAAAAAACAAATCAACATTAAAACCAGATCACATTGCAACCTTAACGACCTTATCAGAAGTAAAACAACGCAATTCGCAACAGGAAAAGAGAGCGCCAAAAGCCATTCCACTCCATTACTCCATAGAGCACCAATACGTCGCCGGCAAGCCGGCAACCGGCGGCCGGCGGTCTTATTGCGGGCAAACGAGCAACAATAGCACGACAAATTCCGAGCACATGAAAGAAAATCCCCGCGAAACACTTACCCGATTTGCAAGCTGGTGAGCGGGAAGAAATGCCGCTTCTCGCCGGCCCGCTCCATCTCGCCGCCGCAGCTTCCTCCTTCACCGTTGAGAAACGCCAGGTTCTTGCATCAAGCGGTAGATCAGACGCTGGAGGAACCCCAAATCCGGATGCGAGTATAGCGGAATCGGAGAGGCTTCCTCCTCAAGTACCTTCCTCGAGGTCAGCTCTGTCCTCCCATGGCGTCGTGCTTATCCGCATGCCAAGGTAGTGTGTAGTACCACAGAGGCCGGAGTTAATGCCCGCGCGCGGGCGGTAAAGACACCGCCAGCCCACCTCCCGTTACCCCACGCGGCACCAGATCGTCAATGGCTTCCTACTTCCAACACGCCGCCGCCGCGCGGCTGCCACGCGGTCTTTAGCTCCGCCCGCGGCAGGGAGGAGGGCGGTGACCGGATCGCGGCGAGGCGAGGCGAGGCGCGGTGCGCCGGTGCCCCCCGCGGGAGAAGGCAGGCAGGCAGCCAACCAACCAGCGGCGGGCGCGGGGGTGCGGGCCGTGGCAGCCAGCCCTTTTGCTTTGGGCAACAACTTCTTTGCGTGAGCCCGAGACAGTTCGGATATTTACCTCCCGATGACATGTGGGGGCGATGCTTTCGCGGACCCCATGCGTCAGGCATCCCGCACTTTGTTTAACGCGGCGGGTGCGTTCGGCGCGGGGCGATAGCTGGCGGGCACAAATGTCAACGCACCGGCACCGCGTTACTGCTGGTGGGGCCCAGCCGGCGGTTTGTGTGCTTGCCCCACAAGGCAGCGTGATGCGCCTCCGCGGCTGTCGTCATCTCGTTTGGCACTTCTGCTTGCCGCGCGTCCAAAGCAAAGGGAGTACTAACGAGCGCTGCCGGTTTCTCCCTGACGCGTGGGTTCAGGTGCGTGGCACCACGCGCCAGTGGAAGGAGCTAGAAATGTTATGCGAGACTTGCCTAGGATCGTCTGCGTGGTTCAGTCCTGGAGTCCTTGGTGTGCAGCTTCTGACGTGCGCCGAGGGATGATGGGCCTTCGAGATGGCGTTTCGGCGCGAGCGCGTGAGGTGTGCGGTGTTTGGATAGATGCACGGAAGCGCGGAATACCATGGGGGCACGCAAGCAAACGAACGGCGTGCGCGTGACGCCTCGTGGATCGAGCCGAGCGACGGGAAACGGAGTTGTTGCTTTGTAGAAATAGATATAAAGGCCATGTTTAGTTGGTCACCGAATCGGCGTCGTCGGATTTCCTGCACCACTGCAGCTACAGTAGTATTTTGTTTTTATTTGATAATAATTGTTCGATCGTTGACTAATTAGGCTCAAAACGTTCGTCTCGCAAAATACAACCAAACTGTGCAATTAGTTTTTGATTTCGTTAACATTTAGTACTCCATGCATGTACCGTATGTTTGATGTGACGGAAAATCTTCTTTTTACATAGTGCCAAATTCAAAAATTAGGGGACTAAACAAGGCCTAAGTATGAGAAGGTTAAAATTACTTTTGGATAACAAATCCAACAATACTTTTATTGCTTTATTTACTGAACTTTTTTTACGACAATTTCTGTTTACTTAATTAAACATAAACATTGAAAAGAGGTAGGGAGTGGTCTCGCTGCTAAGGGAGAAGGAGGCCTAGCAAGCTAAAGAACCCACTTTATATTTTAGTGAGAGCGAGAATAATATAACTTTGAATTGTTAATTACATCTCGAGAGATGTATAGTATAAATTCTATGTATCTTGAAAATCAAACGATTTACAATTTAGAACTAATGGAGTAGTTCTTTCTTTTTTACTGATGGAGTAGTGAAAAGACAGAATCCTTTCATGCAAACCTTACCGAGATGGCACGATAAACAATCCCCCATGTCCTGCGCATTATCGAAGGGGGTGAATTTCAGACTCATGCCAGCATATGGTTGAACATTCTCAAAAAAAAAAAAGAACAGCAACATGATTGAAGTATCCGTGGTGGCACATAGGATAATTGAGCCTTCTACTTGTCTTAATCATGCCTGAAAAAAAAAGGTCAAGTGGCTTATCAAGGTACGCACTGACATGTCAGTGCTAGTTTTGGTATCTGCTACGAAAAGGAGGAATTGATTGAGCCCTTGTTTAGGGCACGTACAACCCATAGACGGGTGCTGTCTGTAAGTTCTTGAAATTTATAATATAGACAGCTAAATAGATAATTCGTACAACTCACAGATAAGAGTTGTTTATTTGATTATCTATAGGTTATTTAATGCTTCATATAACCATGATCAATCATGAATATTATTTTTGTATACCATTGTGTTGCTAATTGACACAAATTAGATCAACACATATACTCTAAATATGATTGCATTTTTTTCATAGTGCTGTGATATGTGCTCGCATTCTCATTCACAAGTAGCAACATGTTCAGTCTGATATAAATTACTTATTTGCCACATCACCGGCACAAAATAAATTAGTACGCAGTTTTTAACTTTTTTAGAACGGCAAGCAGTATGTGAGAGCATTCAGTCATATCACCATACATTCAGTCGCTCAGAAAACAGCTAACAGTATGCAGAAAGTATATTTGGTAAATAACTCAACTGAACAGGTTCTCCAAATGAGAGTGCAATTTTACAGATAATCCATAGAATTAAAAACCATGTAAAATTCAGATCTACCACAGCCTATAGCAGAATGCATACATGACAGATAGCTCTGTTGTTTCAGATTGAATACAAAATCCACAAGCGGGTTCACCATTCTTTAGATGATATGGCTGCAATCAGCAAACCTACGCAACCAGATGTAAAATTAAAATTTAGCTGATATGGCGGCAATTCAATTCCTTGTGGGTAATCAGACCAATAGGTAGAATAATAAAACATATGGACGTACCAATAGGTAGAATAATAAAACATATGGACGTACAGCTACCTGAATTCAGAAAGGACCAACCAAAATTACGCAACCTGGTAACATCCTCCTTCAGAAAACATAGGCAGAACTAGAACATGAACTTCACATTCCTCCCAATCAAGAAACTCAAACTAAACTTCACACTCCTCCCAATCCAAGAAACTCAAACTTATTGCAATCATGAAAGACAAAGGGAGGGGGCGGCCGCCCGGCCAGGGAAGCAGGGCATCCGACCGACCGCTCAGCCAGGGAGCGCGCGGCGCAACGGCCGCCTGGCCAGGGGAGCGCACGGTGCCGCGGCCGCCGGCCAGGTGCGCTTCAGGAGGGGATGGGGATATTTTGGCGCGAGGCTTGCTTCTCCTGTGCGGCGGCATGCTGGATCCTGCGCCTTGGCGCTTGTAGACGGCAATCCCGTACAGCGCGTCTTTCTCTAGGCGACTTGGCCTGGGAGCACGAGCCGTCGTCGTCGTCTCGTCGAGACGACGACCTCGCCTCGATCCCAGCTCGCGAGGGGTTTTTGCAAGATGCACGAGACACGGACGGATCCAGACGACGCGCTGTACATGCCCTTAGTTCGCGAAAACTTTTCCCAAAAAGTGTTACCAAAAAGTCATCACATCGAATCTTATGATACGTGCATGGAACATTAAATATGTAGCGAAAAAAAACTAATTACATAGTTTGATTGAAAATTGCGAGACGAATATTTTAAGCCTAATTAGTTCATGATTAAACACTAATTATCAAATAAAAACAAAAATATTATCGTAGCCAAATTTCCAACTTTCGCCCAGCTAAACACGGGCTGAGCCCTAGCTCTGCATTCTCCGCATGGCGTATCCTGGGTCAAATCCAAAAGCATATCCGTCGTGTACCACGCGGATATGCCGACACGGCCAGATCGGGCTGGAGCGAAGAACAAAGGCCTTGCTGAGCCGATGGGCCGTTGGCCACATCATTACTAGTCGTTAGTACTAGTCAACAAAAGAGCAGACGAGTCGCGTCCGAGTCCAATCCGTTTCCTGCTACGGGCAAGGCAGGCCCAAAGAAATCACATTGGCCCATTACCGGAGAAAACACAGCCCAGTACTGTACGACTACTGCACGACGGTTTTCCTGGCTTATACAGCCTTAAATAGCCCCATCTCCAGCAATATTAGCGCCCCTCCGGCTCCCCCAGTTCGTTTGCGCACCCAACTTCGCCGAGGCTGCAACACAAGCTCTCGACGAGTCGAGGGTTCTCTCACCGCGCCCAAGCCACGCCGCCGAGTTTGTCGACCAGCAAGGAGGGCCCGAAACCCTAGTATCGCCGCCGCGGCCGCCGCCAAAATGCCTCGCCGCAGCCGCGAGGAGGAGGAGGAGGAGGCGGTCGACGACATGGAAGAGGAAGAGGAGGAGGAAGAAGAGAGGGGCGGGAAGAGATCGCGAGCCGGGGGCCATGGGAAGCGGTCGCGCGGCGTAGAGAGCTTCATCGACGACGCGGACGAGGATGACGACGACGACGATGACGATGATGACGACGATTACGGGGGCGGCGGCCGTGGGCGTGCCTCCAAGAGGAGGCGGTCGTCGATCCTGATCGACGACATGGCCCAGGTCGACGACGACGACGACATCGACGACGATAGTTCGGATGTCGAGCCCGGTGAGTCGGTGATTGCCCTATCGATCGGGTTCCAGTAGAATCGCTCGGTTGATCTTATCATATCGTAATTTGCAGAGTTTACCGTGAAATTACCCGATTTTGCACCGTTTGCTTTCATTTTATGCCGTGCATCGGCCCATAGCTGACAAATGCATTGTTAGTTTCTTCTCTGGGCTAATAATGTGGACGTAAGGACATTGATTCCATTTGGGAGTTGTCAGGAAAAAAATGCAGAATCGTTTACTTGTCCGTTTATAGTTTGATTCTGTGGTTTTATAAGATCCGTCAGCTAGGTTTTTAACGAGGTTGTGTTGGTTTAGTCGCATTACATAGTGATTGTTTCTGCAGAGCTTTTGCAACCCTCGAAGTTTAGAGCCGAACTTCATTTATTTCGGGGATTTCATATTGATTTGGAGATCTTCTCGAAGGAAGCACCTAGTTCCTGCTCCATAAATCTTATCAATTGTCAACCTTATGTTTACACCTACCCCTGAAATACTCGAGGACTTGTACACCCAGTTAACAGTATACCAGTGTGGAGAGAATCGTTTTCCAAGAAAATATAGGATTTCTACATTAGTTGTATGTGTTAACTATGTTGTTGCTTTTGTCATTCTCCTGTTTCCAACGGATAGCGCTCAGTGCCTCAGTTGGACAATGTGAATGTTATACTTAATTGATTGCTAAATTGCAATGACATTCCTGTGGTTAAATAGAACCAGGATGCAGTTTACCATGACTACTTTTGTGTTCGAGTCGTCATTAGAGAGAAGCACAGGCAAGGAAACATCTGTTTCAGTGCCATGACTTGTGCACCTTTTGCCTTTTATCAGGCTTTATTGACGATACTGATGCTGGGGTTGAAATTCGTCACAATGATGTGGTAAGGAGGTGTATTCCTCATTCTAGCTCTATGTTGGAAGACAATGAGGATATGCAAGAGATTGTGAGGCGACTACAAAACAGATATAAAGAAGCATCCCATTTTGATTATGACGAGGAAGTTACCGAGGTTGAACAGCAGGCTCTCTTACCATCAGTGAAGGATCCAAAGCTTTGGATGGTGAAATGTGCGGTAGGTTAGCTGCAAGTTCTAGAAGAATAAGATCTGCTCCAACATTTATTCTCTGTACATATGAACATCACTAATATCTTACTGTGACTTCAGACCGGACATGAGCGGGAAACAGCGGTTTGTCTAATGCAAAAGTTCATTGATAGGCCAAATCTCCAGATAAAATCTGTTGTTGCACTAGAACACCTAAAGAATTTCATTTACATTGAAGCAGAGAAAGAAGCCCATGTCAAAGAGGTAAGTGGTGCTTCACTTGACAGTTTTATTCATTTTGGTACTGTGTTTTAACTGAACTTAATTTCAGGCTTGCAAAGGTTTGCGGAACATCATTGCTTCAACAAAACCAACTTTAGTTCCTATAAGAGAAATGGCTGATGTCCTTTCTATCGAGAGCAAATCTGTTGACCTTTCAAGGGACTCGTGGGTTCGGATGAAGCTTGGTATGTATAAAGGTGATCTTGCTAAGGTATAAAGGGTGATCTTTGCTGTCTCCAGTCCCTTAGAATACACGCGAGAGCCATTTATAAAGTTTTAAGAAGAAATTCATGTTTAAAGGGGTTTACAATCGAAGGAGCTACTTCCTGTCCTAACAGGCTTTCTCTGTATTTTGTTTTGACTACCTTTAGGTTGTTGATGTTGACAATGTGGGCCGAAAGGTTACTGTTAAGCTCATACCTAGAATTGATTTACAAGTGCTGGCAAATAAACTGGTAAGTTTATTCTTACTAGCAATATATCTGAGTTTTATTGTTCAGCAAAACTTACGTAAAACTGTATGGTATTGCATCTTCTGTGGACTGGGTAACTTTTTATAGGTTTTACATGATTATTATGTTATTTTAACACATGATCTCAGGGTTTCCTTTCTTGTGAGATTCTGATTAGTTTTCTTGCAATGGTATTCAAAATGTTACTGAGGCCTACATATCTAGATGAAGTTTTCTATATCCCATCTTATGGGAAAAAAGTTGTGCCTTTTCTTTGTCATGCTCCTTCTGGTGCTTGCTCGTCAAATCACTTTGCTTGATGAATGAATATTCTGGTCTTTTCAGGATGGGCAAGAGGTCCCGAAGAAGTCATTCATTCCACCACCAAGGTTCTTTAGTGTCGATGAGGCGAGGTGCTTTTCATCCCTGTTATCATTGTAATAGTGTTTTGTATTTGTATTTATTGCCTTTTGCTGTTATTTGCTAACTCAAATGAAACAGGGAGTTGCACATCCGTGTTGACAGAAGGAGGAATAGAGATTCTGGGGAATACTTTGATGTTGTCGGTGGTTTGCTGTTCAAAGATGGTTTCTTGCACAAAACATTCTCTATAAAATCGATCAGCACGCAAAATATTAAGCCAACATTTGATGAATTAGAGAAATTCAAAAAACCTGGTGATGACCTCAATGAGGATGTGGCTAGCTTGTCCACTCTGTTTACAAACAGAAAAAAGGGCCACTTCATGAAAGGTGATGCTGTAATTGTTATTAAGGGTGACCTCAAGAACTTAAAAGGCTCTGTTGAGAAGGTGGAGGATAGTACTGTGCACATTCAACCAAAACTAGCTGGGCTTCCGGTAGTTACTCGCAGACTGTTACTATTTTAAGGATGATTTAATTACAATATTTGATCAATATTTACGTAGGATTCTTTCCTTCATAATCACAGAGAACACTTGCCTTCAGTGAGACGGATCTCTGTAAATATTTCAATCCTGGAGACCATGTAAAAGTCATATCTGGAGTTCAAGAGGGTGCGACAGGCATGGTTGTTAAAGTGGAAGGGCATGTTTTGATCATTTTATCAGACACTACCAAAGAACATGTGAGATATTATTTTTGCTTTTCTGATGTGTTAATAGCTGCTTAGCAAACACCTTTTTTGGAGGTATATGCACTGACCTTTTACTGTCTCTGTGATTATAGATCCGTGTGTTTGCAGACCATGTTGTGGAGAGTTCTGAGGTCACCACAGGGGTTACCAGGATTGGTGATTATGAATTGCACGAACTTGCTCTTCTTAAGTAAGTTATTTTTCTTAGTGAACCATTATTGGTCGAGTTTTGTATTATTGAATTATATCTTTTGGTAGATATGATTGCTTTCCTTAACTATATATATCTATGGTTAATCTTTAGTGACCATATTTCTAGATCTGGATATTGTTTCTTACATGAGGTTCTATGGCATTCATGCTAGGATCCTGTCTAACTAACTAACTAACTAACTAACTAATATATATATATATATATATATATATATATATATATATATATATACACACACACACACACACACACACACACACACACACAATAGTAGTTAAGGAAAGCAATCATATCTACTGAAAAACAATCTGGTAACAATTTCTTCTGAATGGATATGGACTAATTCATTCCTCTCAACTTTTCAGCAATTCATCATTTGGGATTATTATACGGTTGGAGAGTGAAGCATTTCAGGCAAGCAGATTGTATCTATCTTGTTTCATGGATTTGATGATTTATGTACTAATATATTGACCTTAATATACAACTAGGTTCTGAAAGGTGTGCCTGATAAACCTGAATTGGTCCTTGTAAAACTGAGAGAAATAAAATGTAAGATTGATCGACGCACATCGGCAAAAGATCGGTACAATAACATTGTGTCAACTAAGGATGTTGTGAGGGTTGCTGAAGGAGCATGTAAGGTGTGTCTAACTTCACATGATCTTGTACGGTTCAGTTTGTATCAGAAGATATGATTATTTTGAGTATATTTTATATATCTATTTTTTTTCTTGATAGGGAAAGCAAGGCCCTGTGGAACATATACACAGAGGCATACTTTTTATCTATGATCGCCACTACCTTGAGCATTCAGGATTTATCTGTGCAAAAGCACAATCATGTTTCCTTGTTGGGGGGTCAACTGGCAGCCACCATGGGAATGTATGTGCTACTGCTAATATATACTCAAGAGCTGGTCAATCCTTAAAAACTGCAAACATCAATAACTATTACATTATTTAGTTTGAAAACATGTTGTATATGTGTGTATTCAAAATACTTGCAAAATCTCTTATATATGAAGGATTTTAAGAATATATTCTTGAAGAAATTAATGGTCAAAGATGCACATAAAAAACCGTGCAAATGTTAAATATGTCAAGTATTTATGACCGGCAGGAGTATTAATGTACTTTAGAATTTAGAATACTGTGTCTGACCATACCTTTTTGTTATCTTACGCAGGCCATGGATAAAGCAGATCCACATTTTCATGCTTTTGGCTCTCAAGCAAGGATTTTGCAGTCTCCAGGGAGGCTGCCCCCAAGAGGACCTCAAATGAATTGTACGAATGTATTTAAGTTGAAAAAAATATCTGCTGTTATGGGTTCCAGTAGCCTCTTTATTTATCCGTAGCAAATTGAGTCAGTTCCCTTGTGTTATACAATAATGCATGCCTCCTATGTTATTCAGCTGGTGGAAGGTTTGGAGGGAGAGGCAGTGGTGGCAGAGGGAATGATACCCTGGTGAACAGATGTATCAAAATTAGATCTGGGCCATATAAGGGATATCGTGGCCGTGTTAAAGAATTAACTGGTCTGCTTGTGCGTGTAGAGCTTGAATCGCTGATGAAAATTGTCACAGGTAAGTCTGTTGCAAGTGTACTTTTTTTTTGAAACGAAGGTGTACTTGTTTCTCTTATGTTTAGTTCTAATATATTTATTGTGCGAATATATAGTTAAGAGGGAGGATATCGGCGAAACAGCTGCTGTTGCAACACCATTTCGGTAACTTTTCATTTTTGCTCATCATACATATTTCTATATTTGGTTGACCTGTTTAGTTTCATTTGCTGACGAGTTGTATAAGCAGTGAAACTTGTTATTCAAGGGGTGTTGAAACACCTGTGCATCCATCTCGAACGCCACTACATCCTATTCAGACTCCGATGCGGGATCCTGGAGGTGTGTATTACATGCTTTATTACGCTTTGTTTAAGAGTAGATTACTAAAATTTACTTAGTAAACATTTGGCATTTTGGGAATGAACATGAGGTCCGCAGGATTTGCTTTGACTGTTAATTTTATCTTCTCTTAGCATTAACCATATTATGCAAGAGTCACCTTTTCTGGGCTTCCACATGTATTGTGTTCCCTAAAAAGTTAGGAAAGCTGGACGGTATGATCCCTAGTTTGATAGAGAAGTACCATAATTCTGCTGCACCTACTTTGATTACTTCAAGAGTATTTGAGTATTTGTGTTATTCGATCTCTATGGAGGCAACCACTTTTGTTTGTTGCCTAGCACTTGAACTGATATCAGTAAGCACTCTTATATTTTGGTTCCATTTTCAACCAACACAACCGGATAAAATGACGTATATGTGTAGTTGCTGCCATTTTGTTGGATCATGTATTTCTTCATTAATTTTTCTGGTAACCATATTATATTATTTCTACAGCGACCCCAGTTCGAGATGTAATGAGAACTATGCCTAGTCGAGCCTGGGTGCCATTGAGTCCTCACAGGTCTGTATGTTGCAGAATACAAATTAATATAAATTTGCTAGATGCACATTGTCTTATAAGCTGATAGCTTGAGCTATGAATAAATCAGCTTAAGAACATAAATCATCTCGTTTAAATTTTGGCAATAGCCTCTATAGGTTGCTTACTGTTTCTGTTATTGACAGGGACAACCGGGAAGATGGAGATTCCACTTGGGCAAGCAGTCCAGCCTACCAGGTTTAGTGAGACACTTTCTTGTAATTATCTTGGAGATCATTAAACTTTTTGCTGGCAACTGATTGTGTTTCTCCATCTCTGTTTTTTTCCTTAAAAAAAATCAGCCAGGAACTCCACGACCTCGACCATACGAAGCTCCCACTCCTGGGTCAGGGTGGGCAAGTTGGGGTGATGCGTCGGTGAACACCCCAAGCACGAATGTTCCCTCAACACCTATTGGTCAACCGATGACCCCGGATCCTGCCTCCTATTTGGTTGGTACTCCTAGTGGCCAGCCGATGACTCCAGGCTATGGTGGAATGGAACTAATGTCTCCCGTAATAGGTTCAACCTTGCCCTTCTCTGTACTGTTGCATTTGCAGTGAAAGACATTCTACAGTCAGGATCATATTGAACTGAATCAAGTCGTCAATGGATCATCAATCTGGAGGCACTTAAATGAATCCTTGTTGTCCAAATTCTTGCAGGTGGCGAGGCTGAGGGAAGCTGGCTACTGCCAGATGTTTTGGTGAACGTCTCCAGGGGAGGTGATGAGGTCAGCAATGCTGTGGTGAAGGAAGTGCTCCTGGTATGTGGTTACATTGGTTATGAGCGCATGTGAACCTTTGTTTACCTAACGTTTTTCATTTGCTTTGCAGTGCTAACGTCTCTGAGAATCTGAATTTGCAGGATGGATCATGTCGTGTATCCCTTGGGCCATTGGGTGAGGGAGATGAACTGATCGTCACTGCAAACGAGCTAGAGGTGATCAGGCCGAAGAAAAACGAGAAGCTCAAGATAATGAATGGCTCCTTGCGCGGAGCCACTGGAAAGCTCATTGGAGTTGATGGGTCTGATGGCATCGTGAAGGTGGAAGGTAGCTTAGATGTGAAAATAGTGGACATGGCGATTCTGGGCAAACTGGCAGCTTGAGGAATCTGCACAGTCGAGATTCTTAGTTCATATCTAACTTTAGCATAGTTTAATTTAATTGGTTTAAGTACTCAAAATGCTGTTAGCTATTGTCGTCGTTAGTTTCTGTATATGTTATCCGGTGCTAAGAAGCAATTTGGATGTTCAAAAGGTAACTTTCACCGTCAGGTGTTAGCTGATGCTTTCTGGATTTGTTCCACAGAAACCACTGACTGACTCTGAAAAAGAAAAGGACAACAAAGGCTAAATTGATTGCCACGCTTCTTATCTTGCTGTTTTGGAAAAAAAATTCCATGCATACAGTATGCACCCAGCTTCTATGCATATATGCTCCCATCAACTGCCACATGTCCACCGAAGGGGAATCTACGTCTGTCCGCTGCTCACCTGGCTCTACTCCCACCCTCCCATCGACTCCCACTCGGCTCCATGCGGTCAGCAGTTGCCGTCAGATCCAGACAGCACCCACGCGACAGCCATCGGATGTACTGTATGCACAGTTAGCCAATGCATACCGCATGCATGGAATTTTTCTCCGCTGTTTTTGCTTCCTTCCGGTGGGTCCAACTTGAACGCAGATAAAAATAATGGTAATGCCGCTAATAGGTCGTCTGTCCGTCAGGATGGATCCATATAAGTCGTATGCTCCCTTTGCGCTATATGTGTTTGAACGCGCAATAACATCCGCGATACATAAATTGTGGACGGTTCTTCTTATAAGCTCGGCCAATTTGAAGCATATAGGCGCGTCCATTTGATCGATCTCGCTTGGCGGCCCTCCCATACCCTTGCGACCTGCCGCTGAGTTTATTCACATATATACTGTATTTCTGCCGGACTCACGCCTTCCGTTGAGATAGTGCTCCATCTGCTTTTATCTCGCAAGTTCCAATTCTCGGAGCGAATGATGCTTTTACCAAGACCGAGCTTGAAACTTGAGGACAAGGCGATCTTCTCCGAGAGATTAACACTCTACTAGCGCGGCGCCGAGCTACCCACGCGACGATTAGGAGCCTCTATTCATCCAAGCAACATAAATAGATGTCCTCTACATTTCTCGTAAAAAAAGTGCATGTTGCAAATAATATGTCTTGTTTCATAAATGTTTAGGCAACATCCTTTACGAGGTATGTTGCAAGTGTTGTATATCGATGTTGCATACAAAGTAGAATGGGATACATTGCATATAGCGTAAATTGTAATGGCTATAATACCATTATGTTTGAAGAATGTATGTTCCAAATGTTTTGTGTAAATCATTTCGCCACAAGTGTTTTTATAGTTTTTTGTCCGGACGTCTTGTAACCCTAGATGTTGCATATACATACATGTTGTCCCAAACATATGTTTCAAGTGTTTTCTTGTGTTTTATATATATGTTTGCAAGTGTTTCAAATCTGGATGTTGCATGTGACTTTTGCAATGGTTTTCAAATGTTTTTCATATGGGGATATTTTACGCAAGTAACCTTTCAAGATCCTTCTTTACTTATTCATCTTCTTTAGGCTAATCGGATGTATATGTCTTGTTTTCTAAAAGTGGATATGTAATTTCATTTGTCTTCTTTATATGTTGCAATTGTTGCATCCGGTTGTTTCAAAAATAGATGGGATACATATGGGAAGCGGCTGGCGGCGCGGACGATGTTCGAGGCGGCGTGGGCGACGTCGTGGGCTACGCTTCAAAAGGTCCTGGGTGCGCCTCCTCATGAGCAGCAATGACGTTATTATCGTCTTACGCTCAAAGATATGCTTTTATAGATTTACCTCCTCTCGAAACTATGGCGCAGCGTCCGGACGCTAGCACCCGGGACGGACGTCCGGGTATTAGCAAATCCGCGAAAATAAGGTCATTGTGTATAGCCGCTATTCTAGTTTTAGGAGGGGCAGGTTGCATGTGAATCGATAATCGTCTAAGTTTGGTGTGGTGTCAGGCCCTTGGCACGAACAAGGAACAACGACCGCCACCCGACGAAAGCCATCAGCGCTATAAACATGTCACCGGCGACGCCACAATTACGACCGTCGCCCCAAAGACCGTCAGCTGGAATGCTGAGATGGGCAGCGGCGTCTCACGACCATGACGGCGAATCATATTGCCGTTCACCGTGACGGTGAATCGCGCCAACGCCAGCGTGGAGCGCTGTAGAAGTACTAGAAATGAGCGCTTGTGTGCGGTGACTTGTTGTGTTGTTCAGTATCCATCCATCCTTGTTATGACATCTATCAATCAACCATAGTGAGCGTAAGCACCGATGCAATACTGATACCAAACCACCGTGGATAGAAGGCGACGTAATTTAAAAAGACTTGTATCATTGCAATTAAGGTTAAAATGTTTGACCATACAAACAACATATTTTTTTGCAAGCGCCCTAGGAGGTCTACAGAACTACAGCGAGGGGCTAGACTATCCTAGCATGCAGATTCAAATTTCAACATATATATCATCTCTCACTAACTATCCATATCATCTCCCACTAATAGACATGTTATCCTGCAAACTTTCAACCTCTTAATACAAGTTATTCACGTCATCTCCACTAATTGCAATTACTATTTTCACAAAATATAGAAGGCAATCATATATTATTATTTGCTTTGCAATTGCATCATCTTATAGTTCGATCTAATTCTATTAGTTTTTATTGGATTCTTTAATTGCTTTGTCCAATTTTCATAAGAACGGATGCAAGACCATGTAGGTTTAACTTATACTCCCTTCGTCCTAAATTATATAGTGCATTATGCATGACTTCTAAAATTTGTACAAGGAAATTTAATGCATTCGATGTGGTGCCCATACTCAGATTTAACAAAGTTTGTTAAAGAGAAAGCTATAATTTGAGGAGAGCAAAACCTTAATTGTAAGTTTACTTTATGGGTACATGCGTCACTTGAGTTTTTTCTTAAGTTGTCTTAAACATTTTAGAATGCATTATGCTATTGGACAAAGAGAGTACATGCAATATTTTTATTTCTAAAAAAGTCTTGTAGCAACGTGCGGGGTATTCTGTTAGTTAGCTAAAAGAAGGTGGAGAATGACACTTGTCTGTTTTGTTCTGAGTTTGAATCCATCATCCAGACATTTGATTGATGATTATGGATATCTCTAGCTAGACATTGGCTGTGTGCTTTGGAATGCCAAGCTGGAGTTCCTAAGAGTAAGTTTGGCACAACTCTTTCGCTTTACATTCTCTGTGGAAGCTTATTGTTTGTGTTTCGAGTAAACACCAATGAGTAAATTTGTATTATTGCGCGTTTGGCCCGGATGGTGTGCTAAAAAGATACAAGGTTTATACTGGTTCGGGCGGAATGTCCCTACGTCCAATTCGCGGTTGCTGCTCGTGTTATTTGCACTGAAAGGTTCGTAGTAGGGGTACAAACGGGCGAGAGAGGGATATGTCCCAAGTCTCTGATGAAAAGGTCGAACATACGCTGAGAGCTTGGATGCTGCTCAGCCATGTGTGATGTGATGCGTGATGCGGTGAATCGATCCGTCTCCTTAGTGGGGTGCCCTATCTTCCCCTTTTATAGATCAAGGGAAGCTATTGTCGGATTACAAATGGGAGAAGGAGAAAAGGTAACTTTCACCGTCAGGTGTTAGCTGGTGCTTTCTGGATTTGTTCCACAGAGGCCAAGGAGGTCCTTCAACGATGTCGGGTCCTCCTTTTCTCTCATGAAAGCAAGTCCCCCTCATATATGTCAAGACGGTGCCGAAGGGATAGCATATCCGCTGATCTCGATAGGGCCATGCTCCCACTCGGCTTTGTTCAGCAAGTGGTCACGTCCCAGACCCTCCCGCGACAGCCATCGAATGTACTGACGCACAGTTAGGTGTCGAATCACGACTTCCTTATGGGGAACGCAGATAAAAATAATGGTAATGCCGTAGAGGCCCCACGTTCATTATCTGTAGATGACATGAGTTTCCCTTTCTAGACCGTAGTGGTTGTCGATGTTCCCGCCAGATTCGTGCGTCGAGGGCAAATGCCGACGCCCATAACATGCCCGGAAGACAAATGTCGGCGCCCACAATCTTGTTTGGGCTCGACATGCCTAAAAGAGCTTAAAGCGCCGTCGAGTCTTGTCATATCAAGCTCGATGGTACTTTGCAATAATATGTTTCAAGTGTTTGAGATATTTCAGGGGTATGTTGCAAGTGTATGGTGTTGCAAAAGTAGATTGGGATGTTGACTTGAGTGCCCCAAATGTTTTATCTCATTCTGCAGTAAGTTAGTGATCCGGACGTTGGAGCATGTTGCAAGCATATGTTTCAAGTGTTTTCGTGGCGATATTTGCAAGTGAGCTAACCCTGGACGTCGGACGAGGCAATGATTTTCAAATGTTCCTCGATACGCACGTGTTTCGAGGCTTGTGAGTGTTTCATTTGTCTTCTTTGTATGTTGCAATTGTTGCATCCGGTTGTTTCAAAAATAAAGGTGGAGTCCGCCTTGCGGACGTTCGGGCGAGACGTGGAGTCGCGACCCCTCGGCCCTCGAGCATGCGAGGCGGAGTCTTCTCCTCGAGACGCGTCGGGCTTAGCACCGGGGCGGAGTATTAGCAAATCGCGAAAATAAGGTCATTGTGTAGCCGCTATTCTAGTTTTAGGAGGGCAGGTTGCATGTGAATCGATAATCGTCGGGTTTGGGTGGTGTCAGGCCCTTGGCACGAACAAGGAACAACGACCGCCACCCGACAAAGGGTGAGGCGGAGTCACCGGCGACGCCACAATTACGACCGTCGCCCCAAAGACCGTCAGAGTCGGCGTCTCACGACCATGACGGCGAATCATATTGGAGTTCGCCTGACGGTGAATCGCGCCAACGCCAGCGTGGAGCGCTGTAGAGCCCTCGGGCTTGTGTCGGTGACTTGTTGTGTTGTTGAGCCATCCTTGCCCTGTGGGGTAGTGAGCGTAAGCACCGATGCAATACTGAGCCAACCTTTGAGGGTCGAACGAGACGGAGTTAACCCTCAGTCGTTGGGCAAGAGGTGTAGTTACGTTCTTGTCTATTCAGAAGCATCAACGTTTTGATGGTTATTAGCTCTTACTCTTTAGGTACCCTAGTATTTGGTCCCCAACACTTATTCTCTTGGAAGAGTGATACAAGTTATTCCGGATTCATAAACCCGGGGTCCCCATATATTAATGGAGCCGCTTTAGTTTTATTGGAAAATCTGCTTGTCCAAGAGAACGGATGCGCCTTCGTCCTAAATTATATAGTGCATTATGCAACGCGCTAAAATTTGTACCAGAAACATAATGACGATGTGGTGCCGAGACAACGATCAAAGTTTGTTAAAGAGAAAGAATTTGAGGAGAGCTCGCTTAAGGTGGGACTTTATGGGTACATGCCGACTCCGAGTTTTTCGAGGATACATTTTAGGACCTTTGCTCACCGCATGCTTTCCCTAAAAACCGACACGTGGTGGGGACCGATTAGGACCGACCGAAGGTGGGGGCGACCCTCTCTGTGAGGGCCCGTGGATCGATCCATCATCCAGCAGATTGAAGGTAAGGCACTCAAGTCAACCACAATACTTTGGAGCCAAGCTGGAGTTCCTAAGAGTAAGTTTCGTACCCTACCATGCTCTCTGTGGAAGCTTATTGTTTGTGTTTCGAGTAAACACCAATGAGTAAATTTGTATTATTATGCTGCGTTTGGCCGGATGGTGTGCTAAAAAGATACAAAGTTTATATATCTGGTTGGGGCGGAATGTCCCCTACGTCCAATTCATGGGTTCTCTGTGTTATTTGCACCGCAGGGCGGTGCCACGAGGTCATGCCAGACGGACACTATACAACCTTCCCGGACGTGCGAGCACAAACAAGATTGTATGTAGGCACAGGCGACGTTTGTCCCCGTCTCGATGAAAAGCGAACATGCTAGAGCCCGCCAGATGCGTATGAACATAAAAGATCAGTTTTTGTGGGCGCCAACGACCCGCCTAGATCAGGGGGGCAGGGACGGCGTGGGAGAAGGCAACAAGACTAGGTAGCACACGTATACACACACTCTCTCTCTTTTTCTCTGACTTGTAAGGCCATTCCTTTCAACTATAAAAGGGGATGCGCTCTCTCCCAATATGGGGGCTAGACAACTCGAGGACTCGACGACCTGAGCACTCGAACAACTCAATAGCTCTAGAACTCGACAACTATACAGAACATACGCTCCAATACTTAGCGCACGTTAGAGCACCCGTCACTCTCTTCCATTCGGTTCAGAGTCCGACCGGACCTTTAACACCCTCGTTCTCATTCCTACTCGTTTGTAACCCCACAGCAAACTTCGAGCACCTAGACTCAGGAATAAAGTCACCAACCGACTAAAACTGGATGTAGGACACGTTGCCTGAACCAGTATAAATCTTGTGTCATTGAGTGCTAGGCCACATCCGATCACAATGCATGGTAAAACTACAAATATTTACTTGGTCACTTTTCGCACCGACAGATTCTCTGACTAAAATTGATTCTCTAAGATAAACTATGTGCATACAGTGATTTTGTGCGTGAAGTGAATCAGGAGAAGCTACTTTTTTCAGCTCTCAGCCCCTAGTTCGTTTCAGAAAATCACTTCACAGAATCAGCAAAGAATCACTTCTCAGTAAAAATGTTTGGCAAAGCCCTTTCTGCTTTAGATTCTCTATGGAAGCTGATTTTTTCAGAGAAGTGATTCTCTGATTGAAATTGATTCTCTAAGATAAACTATGTGCATACAATGATTTTGTGTGTGAAGTGAATCAGGAGAAGCTAATTTTTTCAGCTCTCAACCTCTAGTTCATTTCAGAGAATCACTTCACGGAATCAGCAAAGAATCACTTCTCAGTAAAAAAACTGTTTGGCAGAGCTCTTTTTGCTTCATATTCCCTATGGAAGCTAATTCTCTCAGAGAAGTGATTATCTAACTAAAATTGATTCTCTAAGATAAACTATGTGCATACAATGATTTTGTGCGTGAAGTGAATCAGGAGAAACTAATTTTTTCAGCTCTCAACCCCTAGTTCACTTCAAAGATTCACTTCATAGAATCAGCAAAAATTACTTCCCAGTAAAAAACAGTTTGGCAGAGCTGCTTCATATTCCCTATGAAAGCTAATTCTCTCACATAAGTGATTGTCTGACTAAAATTGATTCTCTAAGATAAACTATGTGCATACAATGACTTTGTTTGTGAAATGAATCAGGAGAAGCTACTTTATTCAGCTCACAGCTTCTAGTTCATTTGAGAGAATCACTTGACAGAATCAGCAAATAACCACTTCACAAAATCAGCGATGAATCACTCCTCAGTAAAAACTGTTTTGGAAAAGCTTCTCCTGGGTCGAGCCTAAAAGTTGCTCCGGGAGTTATTATTATTATTACTAGCTTCTGTTGGAGGACTGGTGCATGTTGAAGTCAGTGCTCGGGAGAAACTAATTTTTGAGCTCTCAAGCTCATGACTTCAAAGATTCCTTGTTAGAATCAGCGAAATTTTGATTTTGGGTCTCAGAGCTGCTTCATATTCCCTATGAAAGCTTTTAGGCGAAGTGATTGTCCTAAAATTGATCTAAGATAAACTATGTGCATACAAACTTTGTTTTGAAACGTGAAGCTACGTAATTTCCCACCAAACTTGTGCAATTAGTTTTCTTTTCAAATAATCACTTCACAAATTTAATCGCTCCTGCAGTAAAACTGTTTTGGAAAAGCTTCTCTGGGTCGAGCCTAAAAGTTGCTCCGGGAGTTATTATTATTTTACTAGAAATTGGAGGACTGGTGCATGCAACTAAGCTGAACTAGGCTCATGAACTCAATAGTGTGGATGCACGAGATGTTTGGACCGGAAAGCGGCGCAGCTATTCCAGAAGATAGGTTCGATCTTCGATCCCTACACAGTGTCGCACGATCTGCACGCCTGACTAGAGACTGCCGGCACATGACCACGAAGACAGAGACGACGCTCTCCTGGTCTCCTCGGGCAACCGTGCGCCTATTTGTTATACGGGGTCATGCACGGGGCAAAAAGATGATGCGTCTTCCTCTTGGTGCCGACGAGCTGAGGCGACGACCACAGACCGGCAAATCACGGGCCATAAATATCGTAGCATTTTCTTCAGTCGACGATTCGCTTCAGGTGAGCCGCAACAGCAATGCCGTCGTGACTTGTTGCGGAAGCTTTTGTTTTCAGGAATCAGGACACAACTGTGGAACAGCAGGAAGCCGGCACGCGGGGTTGTTGGACAGGGGGTCGCGCTAGCGTTTCTGAATTGGCTTCCACTACCTCATCCCCTCCCCTCCTCACCGGTAGTAGCTTCCAGCTGTTTCTGGGCCGACGCCCAAAAACGCGCAACGTGCTTCTTCCGTTCTTCAGATCGTTTTGCAGTAGCAAATACTCATACAAATTTGTTCCATTTTTTTGCCTTTTTTTTTAATTTGTTCCCGTATAATGTTAGCTGAGAAATGGTTCCCATCTAGTCTGAGATAAAAAAAAATTGCTCAGATATTCAAATAAAGATGATCGAAACGAACTTTTCATTGAGGTTCAAATTGGAACAATGAAGTGCAGGATACACCAATGACATCGAGCTCGAAACAAGGTAACTGTTCCAGGTTTACAAAGTAAACATTTTCTGATACAAATAGAACATTTTTTTTTCATGAAAGATGGAATATTTTTTTTCACGAATCCAAGGCGGGCGACGTTTGATGCTAAATGAAAAAAAAAATGTTATAGGCTCAAGAGAACAATATTCTAAGTTCAAAAAAAATGTTCAATAATGGTGATTTTTTTGAATGGGACTAAATGGTGAATTGAATAGTCATTTAGCCTATCTAATTACGTTAACTCTATTCTGTTTAGGTCAGTTTTTTTCTTTTTGGCCGTTTAAAGGGTTAAACCATTTTTGCAAACTCTACCCCTATGAGCACCTTATCGACGGAGACGTCGTCTACCACTGAAAGTATAGCACCGTTAAATTCTGGAATAAATCCAAAAAAATACGTGCACCCTGTGCTAAGTTGATGACTTAAACCTGGGTGGACAGGTTCTATCACAAAGAACCCAACCAACTGATCTATGATCATTTTTTTGTGTGTGACTTCTGATCTATGATCGTTTGATGGACTGTTCGGGGTCTAAATGATACAGTTGGGCTCTGTTTGTTGTTTAAACGTTATTTAAGGAGAACAATGAGTTATATAAACATAGTTTTTTTTTATCATAGCTATATAACATATAACTAGGGTACACGCACACTGGCTGTAACTCAAATAAATCTCCCCGATTAGTTTTTTTTTTTTTTTTTGAGGGGAATCTCCCTGATTAGTGATTACCCCACGGCTATCTCCTGGGCCCTGGCCTCCTGGGTTCCTCCCCGTCAAAGATCAGCTTCTAGGCTCTAGCCCAAGAAAAGCTTGTGAAGCTTGCAAAAAAGGCCCATGAATAGGACAACAAGGCATCTATTTTGGGCCTTAGAGCCCAGCAGTTCCGATGCGAATGCGACCGTCCCTTCCGTCCCGAGCCTCGGTCCCCATTGCGGCGGCTCTGCCTGGCCAAGACAGAGTCACACAGCGATGAGGCGAGAAGCGGAGAAGGCAATGGCAACGGCGCAGAACAAGAGACCGCGGATCAGCAGCGACGTGGAGAAGAGACCGAGTAGGAAGGAGGTCCGTCTCTTTTATCTCTTCCCTTGCATCCTATGACTGGGCTGGCAGCGCTCCGCTCCCTTTCCCTGCGACCCTGCCCTGCCTAGTCGAATTCCTGGCCAGTGCATGCTTCTAACCAATTGGCCGTTGCTGTATGATTGCGCTTGCTATTTGGATGGTTAGCAGCGTCCTTTGTTGTCTGAAATAGCCTGGTCGTAGGGTTACGGAGGCGGTGCGAAGCTGGAAGTTGCTGAAAGTCCATGTATTCTCACGCAGGATGTAACTGCAGCATAATTTCGGCTAGTGAATAATCTGAAATAGCTGGTAGAGTCAACTTCAACGCACCCGTGCTGTCTTCCTGCTGATCTTGTGTGTGGCAACAGTATCTTTCGTCACTTTCAGGGTTCCTTCTCTTGTATACAGACATACAGTGTACTGACAGCAATGAATAATTGGTGAGGCATGGTCCCTGATTCATTCTATTGGATAGATATTGGGGAGAAAGAAGGCGGTCGAGGAATGTATAAAGAAAGCTGTAGCTGTGAAGGATCATCTAGAGCACTTTCCAGCATTTCATAAATATCAGAAAAATGGTAGCATACACTATCTTCTTCTTTGAAAAAAGTTTACTATAGAACTAGTAATGTACTGATGTTTTACTAGATGTTGTAACATAAAGGGCGTATCCAGTGTAGAGAGCTCCCGCTCTGTGCGGGGTCTGGGGAAGGGTGTCAGTGGCAAGCCTTACCCTCGCCTGTGCAATACGAGGAGACCGCGACTCGAACCCGGGACCTTCCGGTCACAGGCGGTAAGACTCTACCGCTTGCACCAGGCCCGCCCTTCACTAGATGTTGTAACATGTTACCAGAATTTATCTTCAGAAATCCAGCAAAACAAAATTGAGTGCCAAATTAGTCCTCTGGAGCTATAATTAAGCATAGTGCTTGTTGATTTTCTGTGTGCTTGTTCTGAGGATGAATGTATCACAGCAAGCTCATTTTTCCTGATATCTAGGTCTTTCAGTCTACTTGGAGTCCGGACGTGGGGATCAGCTTACATTACCAATGAGGAAGTACATCCAAAATATTCTAAAGGTTACATCCATTTGTTTTCACTGTACTCCGTTCTTTGCATGCCACATAGCCATTTAGCTATGACATATCACCATTCTGAATGTAATGCTAGTAAACAAATACTCCGTATAGGTTAACATGGAGAAACCATATGGACCAGAGTGGCCGTCAGAAGAGAAAATTAAGCTCCGGGAAATGGTGGCCCCAGAAGCGCGATATATCTTAGCTAAGCAATATTCAAATGGGTTTATTGATGAAAGTTCCATGAAGCAAGATGCGGAGGCGGAACATATGTATGCAGCATGTACTGAAAGCTGCTTGCTTGGTTTTGTACACTATAGATTTGTTGTGGAAGAGGAGCTGCCTGTTGTTTATGTGTATGAGCTGCAAATGGAGCCTTCTGCCCAGGGCAAGGGGCTGGGAAAGTTTATGATCCAGTTGGTTGAACAGGTAGCATGCAAGGTAATATGATCTATTCATGATCCTACCTACTTATTATTACAATCTTCTGAATATTAGGTAATGGCATAACTGTTATGGCGCTATTATCCTTTCCACTGGCATGTGTTAGTTCAGTCACCATCTTGACATGTGACCATAAATGATACTCCAAAATGACACACTGTGATTGTATATGCATGCAGAACCAAATGGGAGCTGTGATGCTAACAGTTCAGAAAGCTAACACACTAGCTATGGATTTCTATACTAAGTTGAGGTACATTAGATGGTTACCTTCTGGTTACTTAATCTTATGGCTACTGCTTTGCTTTGAGCTAATTCTTTTTCTCTTGTAGATATGTAATATCGAGTACCTCACCATCGCGAGTGGATCCTCAGGTATCATTTTACCTGTATAGCTTTTCAAAAGCATAAGAAATTTGTTTATTGTTGTCATGATTTACATGGATCTCTTCATATTCACAGACAGGACTTGAAAAAAGCTATGAGATTTTGTGCAAGACATTTGACTCTGAAGCTAAGTCCAAACTAGAGGTTTGTGGCTGTATACTTATTGGTGTGGCATAAGTTTGTTGCTATTGCTGCATAAGATTGGCAAATCTCATAGAAAATTATGTCACTACCAGAATCGCTGGTATTTTTGGCCTTGCTTCATTGCTTGTACTACTACTATTTGCTACATGCTCTATTATATGAAATTCATGAATGAATAATGTTGTGGGAGTTTCAGTTATCTCTAGCACAAGTGCGCTGCTGATGCTCTTCTTTCTAAATATATGCAGGATGACGACTATTAAGACTTGAGACTTTAGAATGCAACGACATTTAAGCGACTACTGAGCATTATGCCTAGTTACGCCACATGATTCCGCAGCATATTGTCATGCAGACAATTGTTACTGTGATTTATTACTATAGTATTGTGGTGTACTCGGCCTAAATTCACAATTTTTATCCTGTTTTCCTTTTTTTTGGCAAATGGACAGTTTTGCTAATAGACTATTGCCCAGCTGGATGTTTAATGACTTTGCTCGCGTTGCTTTACTCCTTAAGGTTGAAGGCCCTGTCTTATCTCAAAATTAAAACTAAGATAGAGGAACAAAATGTGCCCACAACTAGATACTAGTGAAATTACAGATTCGACACAGCGAGCGACGCGTCGTCGCGATTTTGACTTTGGAGGTTTGACAGTTCAGCCCTGCTATCAATATGATCAATGATAGTCTTTGAGGCCATCTATGATTATGATGCCGACTAAGCAGCAGTGTAGCATGGATTTCTGTGATGCTTCAGTCTTGTGCTGGGCCTCTTGTAATAATAAAATGATTGGGTGTTGTTTGGAAATCAGGCCACCAGAACAGTCTTGCGATGTTTCCATTTACTAAAAATCAGGCGGCTGCCATTCGCTTTTTCAATTAGAGTATAACATCAAACTCATAGCACAGTAGACTGTTCTCAGCATCGACACAGAAGACAAAACTGTTCAAAAAGAAAAGTAATTATACAATAACTGACGTCAAATGATCTCCATGATCCAATATAGTACGTAGTAGGGCTAGAAGTCATCGCTTATTTTTCCAAAACAAACAAATGGGGGTCGCTGGGTAATTTAAACGCACTAGTGACATGACACATGAGGAATCATGAGGCAAATGGAGGCCGGGGACTGGCTGACTGGCTGACTGAGACGCGAAAGACTAGGTGGTATCGCTAGATGCAGAGCTGCAGAAGGCCGGCTCTTCAGTCTCGGGGGACCAGGGGATCATCTGCAGCTGCAGGCTGCAGCGCGAACAATGACAGGCACCCGACGAACCACGCCAGGAACGCGAAAAACAGGCGAGGCAACGGCGCCGGCGCCGGCGCGGCGGCTTCTCCGATTATGACCGTTGCCCCGGCGAGCATCAGATGGAGCCCGGTGGATACGCGCAGCAGCTGCCCACGGCCGCCGGCGTCTGGGACAACGGCGGGATTTTGCTCTGGCTCCGGACCGCCGGAGTCCACAGCCTCTTTGTTGGCATTGCCAGCGTCATCGCGAGCCATCCGGATGTGCCACGGTCGATTTAGAACGACACAGGCTCGGCGAAGGGCGAACAGACAAAGGGCGCCTTTATTAGTTATTGTAGGCTGTGTGAGCCAACCTGATGGGTGATCTTGTTGATTATATAGAGCGAGGTGGCAGTGGACGTGTCGTTGAATCGTTGATGCGTTCAACTGGGCAACTCATTTTTTGGTGAAAGCGATGGGTCTAGTTGTCCTGGAGTGGCAGTGGACGTGTCGTTGAATCGTTGATGGCTTGATCACCGTGATGCATACGAGGGTTCGCGCCTTCGCGGAACGCCCCCACGAAAGCGACCTCTATAAACTCCGGCCGTGTAGTGCGACCAGCGCGATCGCTGACCAAAACAGAGCTCCAGGGTAGTTGATTTTTAGATAATGGATAAAACAAATATCCGGCCTCTACATCTAAGGATGTACACAGCCCATTATTACAAAGTTTTGGATGATAAAAAATGACGTTAGTTCAAACAATATAAATGTTTCCATCATTTATTGGATATCTCTAAAGCAATAATTTCCAATTTCTTGCTCATCGTTGAGAGCGCGTCCTTGGCTGTCTCATCACGCTGCAGCTGGGCCCAAGAGCGTAACCAGTACGCTCCTCTGAAAATTACCTGCATAATAGAGTTAGATTTCATTTGATTAAAAACAACATCATTACGGCATCTCTAGATAGCCCAAAACATGGCAGCCACCCCCACCCAAATCAAATTTCTAATCCTTTTATTTTGATTGGTCAGCCAACTACCAAACATGTGGCTGATTGATCTAGGTTGGGTCAAACTAGTAGCAAAAAAGATAATCCTCCAAATCATTTTGGTAAGGGGACAGTCTAGGAACAAATGTTGGATAGTTTCATTTCCATTACAGCAGATGCACTTTTGACTCTCCTTCCAATTTTTCTTAGCGAGGTTGTCTTTGGTTAAGACGACACCCCTTTGCAAGAACCAAAGAAAGATTTTAATTTTTAGAGGAATTTTTATCTTCCAGATCTTTCTATGACAAAAAGGTGTTTGTGTATCTATAAGATAGAGATACATTGAGCGGACAGAGAACAAACCTGATTTGGTTAAACTCCATATGAAATAATCCGAACCTTCCACCAATGCGACGTTTGAGATCCGTGCTACTAAACTAAGCCATTCTGTAAGTTTATTATCCACCAGAGCCCTTCTAAAAGAGATGTTTAGTGGGCTAGTAGTCATCACTTTTGAGACTGTTGCATGAGGTTCCCGCACTATATTATATAAAGATGGATATTTAATTTTCAGAGGCTTATCTCCTACCCATGTGTCGTCCCAAAACCTAGTGTTGGTTCTATCTTTAATATCGAATGAACCATTAGCCAGCACCTCATCTTTGATATGCATGAGGCCTCTCCAAAAATAAGAGTAATTGGGTTTGGCTGCCACCTGAGTTAGGCTCTTGGAGGTTAGGTATTTATTCCGTAAAAGAGATTGACATATGCCTTCTGTGTTTAGAAGATTAACCAGCCATTTGGCTAGAAGGCATTTATTTTGCAATTGTAAATTTAGGATACCTAATCCTCCTTGGTCCTTTGGACGACAAAGGATGTCCCATCTGGCAAGGCGATATCTATGTTTATCGAGGAGCCTTGCGGTAAGAACCTTGATCTATAATGATCTAGGTTTTTAATGACCCCTTAGGGATCTCAAAGAAGGACATCATAAACATAGGTAGGTGCTTAAGATTGAATTAAGCGTAACTAGTCTACCCCCATATATGATGTATTTTGCTTTCCAACAAGAGAGTTTCATTTGAAACGATCTTCCACCTTTCTCCAATCAGAGTTCAGGAGTTGTCTATGGTGCATTGGGATCCCTAGATATCTGAAGGGGTATTCCTCTGCGTTGCATCAAAGAGACTAGTATAAAAGGATTCCATCTCTTTAGCAGCACCATAGCAGAAGACTTCGCTCTTGTGGAAGTTGATCTTCAGCCCAGATAGCCGTTCAAAAGCGCAAAGCAACAGTTTCAGATTCTGTGCTTGTTCTGGGTCGTGATCAATAAAGATAATTGTGTCATCTGCATATTATAGTATGGACAAACCATCATCTATAAGGTGGGGGACGACACCTCTTATCGACCATCGGCTTTTGCTCTCTGTTAATCGGAAGAGCTAGCATATCAAACAACGATGTTGAATAAGATTGATGACAATGGATCTCCTTATGCGAGTCCACGCTTGGTGCGGAAATAGGGTCCAACGTCCTCATTGACTTTGATTCCCACACTTCCTCCGGTGACCATAGTTTCAACCCATCGACACCATTTGGGGGAGAAACCTTTCATTCGTAGCGTTTGTTGTAGGAAAGACCACTTCACTTTGTCGTATGCATTTTCAAAATCAATTTTGAAAATGACACCGTCTCTCTTTTTGGTGTGAAGTTCATGGATGGTTTCGTGTAAGATAACGACCCCTTCCATTATGTTCCTTCCTGGCATAAAGGCAGTCTGCGTTGGCCTCACCACCGTTTTAGCTACCATATTAAGCCTATTTGTGGCTACTTTAGTGAATATTTTAAAACTCACATTAAGAACACAAATTGGCCTGTAATGCTGAATTTTTATGGCATTATTCACTTTTGGGATTAAGGTAATAATACCAAAATTCAGACTATAGAGATCAAGAGCCTCCCTATGCAGTTTAGCAAATAAAGGTAGAAGATCATCCTTGATGACTCCCCAGAACACCTGATAAAATTCTGCAGAAAAACCATCCGGCCCTGGAGCTTTATTATGCTCCATTTGGAAGACTGCCTCCCTCACTTCAGATTCAGTGAATGGGCTAATGAGGATGTTGTTTTCCTCGGTGATACACGTGGGATATCTAGGTTTTGGTCTTCCCTAAGGGAGATATCGAAATTATCCTTTGGCCAAAGAGTTCTTTATAATAAGTCGTAATGTGACTTTTGAGATGATCATCACCGATCACAACACCTTGATCATTTTCAAGTTTATAGATATGTTGCTTGCGATGTTTCCCATTGGCGACTAGATGAAAGAACCGAGTATTAGCATCCCCTTCCAAGAGGGTTTTAACTTTGGCTCTCTTATACCATTTTAGTTCCTCTTCTCTCAGAAGGTTAACTAAACATTCTTTTAGACAATGCTTGATTAATCTCTTGATCAGATAAGGAGAGATCTCACTTTCTTATCAAGATTGTCTAAAAGAGCTAATGAGTCTTTTTTTCTTTTCGATATGACCTCGCCAGTGTGTTTGGTTGGCCCTTAGATATTGTCTGAGTCTCATGGATCTTGAATTGCCAACGTTCAAGAGGGGTTGACCCAGAGCATGGAGATTGTCAAATATTTGCAACCATATCATAAAATCCATCTCGTATCAACCATCCCCTCTCAAATTTGAAAGGACGATTGTGAGTCTGGTGGGTTGAAGCACCTGTGTTAACCACTAGGGGTGTGTGGTCTGAGATATGCCTATCCCTAGGTTCTACTGTTGTCAATGGAAACATGATTTCTCATTCCATGCTAACGAGAACTCTATCTAACTTTTCAAAAGTTGGATTATCCCCTGGCCCCGCCCATGTGTATTGACGGCCTGCCATTGTGATCTCCTTAAGATCCAGAGATTCAATAATAGCATTAAAAAGATTTGGCCATTTAGGGTCGAAGTCCTCAAAACTCTTATCTTCTGGGCTTCGCATTATGTTGAAATCTCCTCCTATCATATATGGAAGGGTTTCTTTGGAGCACGTGTTGGCAAGTTCTACTAGGAAAGCACTCTTATTCGGAGTTGTCTTTGGCCCCCATACACCGTATATAGCACAAATTTGAAGTCATTTGATTTGACTCTTAGGGTGAATTTTACATAAAAATCTCCCTCAGCAATAGCTCCAATGTCAAAAACATTCAGGTCCACACCTAGCAGGATGCCCCCAGATCTACCGTGGGGTGCCATGGTGTGCCAAAGAAAATCATGTCCCCACAAAGATTTTTGAGAACATGATCAGGAACGAGTCCCGACTGCTTTGGATAGAGCAATAAAATTAATTTGCTCTTCCTTAACTAATTCAGCCAAAAACCTATGCTTAGCCAAGTCTGCTAGACCTTTGCTATTCCAGAAAACTCCCTTCATTTTATAATAATTTTTGAGGGGGTCTTTGGCTTCTTGGGAAGTTTGCCATTAAAAGTATATTTGGCATTATTATATTTTTTTCTTCCGTCGGAGTGGAGAGAGATCTATGATTTGATCATTCTCCTCCTCCAGCAAATTCTCATTTGGATTTCCACTGGCGTAGCTGAGAATTGCATCAATTAGGTCATCCTGCTCATCATCAGTCTCAAGATTGGGGAGTTTAGATTTAGCAGAACCTTTTTTTGTATTAGCACATAAAACTAACCTGTCTACCTCTAAGTTTTTGATTGAAACTACATCTGAGGTACCTAGGTTGATGCCTACCCTACCAAGGTTTGATAAAATTTTGGAATCTGGAAAGCTAGTGAAAGAGTTACCTGTGAATTCAAGGTTCTTCTTTGCTGCCAACCGTTCAGCCTTTTGTAGGGTATGGGCGTCCGCCAATGCCGCATTCCTAGAGCTACGACGTGGTGCTTTGATGGGCGCTGCTGTAATTGCAGGCGCCAACTCCCCAACTGCCGAGGTAGAAGTATCCACGGATATGATCACTTTCTCTCAGATAAGTCGCGATCGGTGTCGCGGTGGTGAGGCTTGATCTCTGACCGCCTGCAGCTCCGCTAAACCGCCATGGGCGTCGGTGAGGCAGTGCGGTGGTAGGAGGGCTCCAGCGTTGTCCGATCTCACTGGGAAGTCCATGCCACTTGGGGGTAGTGTGGGTGAAGGACCCCCGAGCCCGCCTAGTGCCACTACAACTCAGGTCTCCCACCATGCATCATGGGAGACACGGGTGGGCTGTCTGGTCGGCTCAGAGCTTTGTCCTTGCGATCTTCAGCAATGTCCGCGCTGGGGAATGGCTGAGGGAGGCG